CCCCCGGGCTCTAGTTATGGAATTTATTTATTTTGAAGATATTTGTGAGAACAAGAGGGTTTTTTTGTTTGTTTGTTTGTTTTAATAATCAACACTGAGAACTGTGTTTTTAATAATCAACCTTAATGAGAACCTTCTTTAAGAACCTTAACTGTTGTCAATAAGACTTCTAGTTAGAGCTTTGGGGAAAGTGGGAAAGGAAGAGGAAGAGCTGGGAGAAAGACGGCTCTTTATTATACTCCAATGAATTGGTAGATTATGTCTGGTTGTAGCATTGTGAGACAGTAACTTACAAAGTGGTAGTAAATACAACATGAATTCCTCATTTTTTGCATGTATTTACTCTTACTATGTTTTCAAAGTGCATTGTAGTGTATTGGATTATGTGACATGTCTATACATATGTATCTTGTGTCTTTTCCTATGTATCCATACGTATGATATAATGCCATACATCAGAAGGAGACACAACAGTTTAGGTGATGTGCTCAAGACTATATTTGTTGTCAGTGTATCTGTTGTCATTAGAATCTGAGTTCTGAACTCTTTCTCAGCATTCAGTCTCTTAAAACATGTAGAGTGGTAACACTGAAAAACTGACAGGACTGGAAATCTACTTTGTGTTATAGCAAGCAAAATAAGGAAGAATTAATGTTAAATTTTCAGTCATCTTTTGAAATTTATAGTTACTTTTGCAAGTGGGAACCTGATAGTTTTAAATGAGTCCATTCTTAATTACAGTAGTTATCCTAAATCCTCGATTCAGTTAAAGTACTCTTTAAGTTTAAACGATTTGCTAAATTGAAATCTACATTTGTTTTAGTCACTCATAACCACTTGTTTCCAAATTTAGTTCTTCTCCAATCCCTGTTTTCCCATCATTTGATTATATTTTCCTTGAAGTCACATTTTTACTTAATTAGAAAGGATCTACAGATTTTTTTGTTGTTGATCCTGAAACACAATTGTATGAATGTTTGATATGAATGTCAGATAAAGAAAAATAAATCCAGCATTGACTTTTGATATCAGTTTGTGTAAGTCTCTTGTACTCCTGAAAACTTTGTTCTTCTCAATGTACAAGATGCAAGTGGTTCACTTCAGTATTTGTTTTCTGCTTTGTGATGAATTCCTAAGGATTCTGCTTAAAAGTTTCAGAAATAGGTATTTCATCTGCCATTTAATCTGTTTTTCTTTCTGTAATTTTAAGTCCTGGAGCAAAATATATAGTTAACCACTCATTTATGAGGACAACCGAATCAGTGCATCATCAACTTACTGGTGACTTGACCACCTCCCTGGGTGGGAGGCTAGGGAGGCCATTGAACATTAACTCTTCTTCTGTAGTCTGCAGCACCATTTATCGTGTAAAACATTTGTCAGTCTGTGGCTGCTGCTACATCACTTTTTGTTCCCTTTATGCCCAAAATTTCATGATTGCTATGCCTGTGTTATTGCCATCTACTCAATAGCACATGGGTAGCTGCAGTACACTGGTGATTCTACAATGGATTATTCCTCTGAGAGAAAGATGGCCATCTCACTGCTCAGTTGTTGCAATGGTTTTCAAGGCACCAGGCTCACCTTCAGCTCCCCACTTCCCAGCTCTGCAGACCCCTCTTTGAAGTGACTAAGATAGTGTTGAGTAAGGTTATTACTGACATAGACATCATCTGGTTTCAGTTTTAATGCTGAAGGCAAAGAGACAGGGCATGCTTCTCAGATACAGATGTTCTCAGGATCAATCCAGTTGTCTTTTAAGGATGGATTCAGACCATATTTCTGCCATCTGACAGACACAAGTTTGGCTGTGCAACACTGGCCTACATTCAGAAGTTTATCTTCCTAACCAATCATGGGCACTTAATTAAAAATACCACAGCTTTAATTCTGAAGAAAAAGCTGGGAGAGATAGGAATCAATGGCTCCAGCCTAGCTCTGTGGACACATCTGAGTACTGGGTGCTGCTCAGCACCCAGGCAGGTTTTAAAGAGGAGGGGAGCAGTGGCTAAGCAGAGGCAGACTGTGTGAGACCCGTCTGTTTCTCCTAATCTGCTCTGTTCCATCGTTTCCCTGCAAGGAGCAGAAGTTAGAAGGCCATGCAAGTTTTCTCCTGCTTTGGTCTACTAGTCTTAAAAATAAGAAATGTCTTTATATATCTCTCTTGAATGTGCCTTACTGAAATGGAAATCAGCATGTTACCATACCATTTCACATAGACTTAGGAAGTAATTTTATTTTCCTTTCTCTTCATAACTATATTTTGCAGTTATTATCCTGCATATTAAAATAATATCTGTTGAGATTGGGCTTATGTTTTTTTTCTCTAGTTCTGCTTCTCAATATTAGTTCTCACACCATTAAGGCTGCGCATTATTCTCATCTGAACGTGTTTCCTTTGGTCTGTTCCCATTTGCAATGCCCTGAAGTGGCCACAGAAGTCTAACTCAGTGTGGGTCATTTCACCCACACTGAGCAGAGTAAAAACATTTTTGTACTCTGTACCCACAGTGTTCTCTGCTTTACAAAGACATGACACATTCTGTGGTGTTGTCATCTTGAGTCATCTATCCCTGCCATTTTATATTCTGTGTTTGTTTTAGTGATTATTCCTGTCTGTATTTAATATCTTGCACTCTTCTTTAGGGAATATCATCCTATTTTCTCCAGTTTGTCAAGATAAATATAGCAAAAAAAACATCATCTGTGACACAAAGAGGTTTGATGTCACCAGAGCATTTGATGAGTAAATGTTTACTTCATTGTTCTGTTCATGAATGATATGCAGCAAATAAAACTGTCCTCTAGAGAGGTGGCTTGATTACTCTTCCCAGTATTTTTCCAAAAATGAATGTTATGATAACAGATCTGTAAGTCATGATCTCTTTCTTCTTTTTCTCTTTCTGAACATGACCATCACATTTGTTCTTTTTCAGTCTTCAGATTTTTCATCTATTTGCTGAGCATGTGAAGGATTAGGGCCCTAAAGCCTGGTACCACTATATAAAGCAGTAAAAGCAATGATGTACAAACTGAACGAAGGAGAAATCACAAAGTGAAAAGTTTTTATCAGTCTGTAATTACACAGTAGTATTAGATGAAAAAATAATCTTTTGCCTAAAACAATACCTAAAAAATTTGGAAAGAAAGGCTTAAGTAATAGGGTGTGAAAGGGATCCTGTGAAATCTACCCCAACCTTGAGACATGACCTGAGTGATAGTATTTTGAGTCATTACTTTGAACTATGTTTTGTGCTCTTGTAGTAAAGATCTTTGAGCAAGAGAAGGAGTCATGACTACGAGTGTTGCACGATGCTCTTCTTTATCTTTAGCTAAGGAATGATTGCCTTTGTTTTTTTATTGCTTAATATTTGTGAGTAATAGGTAAGCCATTTAGTGGTTGTACATGCAGATCAGGTTCTCTGTAAGCCTGGAAATACGGAGTGGTTTGCATTTCATGCTCTGGTTCCATATGTGTGCATCAGTTTATGGAAAGCCAGACAGTAAGATTGATGACATTCTACTTTCAAAGCATTTGCAGTTCAAGGTAATTACACAATCAGTGAAGTTAAATGTTTAATAGCTTAATGAGTAATTAATGCTATTCCACAGAAGTTGTTGTGTCTGGTGATGTATGACAACCGGGATGGTGTTACTGAGGAGAGCTAAATTTTCTTGTTGAAATGTGATAATTTGTAGTTACTGTTTTCATGATTTGCTAGAATATAGGTGGATTTTTTTCAAGGACTATCTCTATTTGCCAAAAGTAATCATAATGGCAGGAAGAAAATTGTAAGTATATTCCTAAAAGCAATTGCATTGATGGCTGAGAAAGTATATAGTAGATTTTATGTCTGAAGCTGTTATCACATGAAGGTTGGTCTATTTATATATTGACTTCTGGAAATTACAGAATTCAGCTTTTGTTGTCTAGAT